ACAGTCACACAGCTGGAATATTGCGGAGTGAGTTGTGAGCAAATAAACCACACAGAAACACACGAACAGACACACACATACACACAGATGCCACCTTGAACAGTTATTCACTCCTATCAAGGCGTTTCAACTTAATAAGGGATGAAAGCCCAAAGTGATACAGATCTAAGGTGTTTAAATCATGGGTATGGTGCTGACAAACCAAGAATCAGGGATTCAAGAACATGACCATTGGATTCTGGAATGTCTAGGAATGTAACACTGTACAAAGAACTTGACGCCTTAGACGAGTGGATCACCAGTGTTCCTCCTAATTTAGAAGCAACAATTCCATCAGCAAGACACCTCAACAAGACGGGAGGGTGTTGACCAATGCCTTTCCATCACATCTCAACAAACTTTCTACCAGATAAAATATCTATTCACTACTGTCCAGGAAATAACTGAAGAAAACAATAGTATTAAAAGTCTTTTGATTGAGTGATATGGGACAGTGCACCAGTCTGATGGTGGCAACCTGTAAATAATCAAGGCTGGTCCTAGCTAACCAGTGATTGAAACTATGAGTGAGTGAGTGAGTTGGGTTTAGCACCACTTTTAACAGTATTCCGGTTGCATCGAAGCATGTCAGCCTAATGTGGGAGGAAAGCCTGAAGTGATGCAGGTCTTAGACGCTAACCACTTCGGTGAAACATACGAGCACAGGTATGGTGCTGACAAACCTAGAAACATAATCAGGCCAAACCCACAACCATAGGTTTCTGGCTTGCCCAAGGGATGCAACTCTGCACAGTGAATCGCAGTGCCTTAGACGACTGGGCTACCCGTGCCCCCCCCCGAAATTATGAGCAATGTCCACTCTCATTAAAATCAGATCTTAGTTCTCGCTACCGCTAAACAAAGATCGGAGGACATCCCATTACGGGTCACGTCAGACCGACCTTGCGCGAACATTGACCGACCAATGGAATGACCAATCAAAAGGCAGCTTTCTCGTGCTTTACGGCACAAATTTCAAATTGGCGACTACGCTTCGAGACATATTTTGACATATTCTCGATTACAAATTTGAAACCTGAACAAAAAACATTCTGGAATGGCTAATAGATGGTCTAGATTGTAAGGATTCAGTCGTTAAACCCATAACTATCGTTCGGAATACTCCATGTTAAAGTTTACGAGATTGCATGATTAGAAATCACATTCCAACTGTCACTTTCATAATCTGGTAAGCGACGCACTGATTGGTCAGATGAAAGGTCGTTCTGACGTGACCCCTAATGGGATGTCTTCAGATCTTTGTTTAGCAGTAGCGAGAACTAAGGTCTGATCTTAATGAGATTGCAGATTAACTATAGTAATATAAAAGAATCGGAGCAATGTCCCAAGTCATTGAGGTACAATGACACAATCAACCAAGTCTCCAAGTCTGCCCACCAAATCCACTGATATGCCTCTTACAATAAATGTAGGTTGTAGATCAACGCAAACCCCGAGTCAATGGATACAATGCACATAAGATAAACAGTTTAACATTTTCCAATTTATTGCTGTGTATAGTAACTTGACATATTTCTATGAATACTTGACACCATATGGGTCTGATGCAGCCTTATATCACATGAGACTAGTGGCAATACCTACTCCAGAGTACAGATTGTGAAGTAGGGCCGTGTAACACTTGTCCAGACAACAGATCATAAATTCACTAAGTGGAACAACTACTTTAAGCCTAAAAACTTCAATACAGTTTTCGCCATAAAAATATTTTGTTGGTTTGAGGACTTACTTTAGAGGATCTAAAGAAAATTATCAGTCATTTTTTTCATTTCAACCCACAGTGTGGATCCTGGCATAACCAAGGGATGGAACTCTTGACAACCCATGCAGCCACAAATATCACACAAGTTGACATACACTCCTTCTCTTGTCTCAAACGTTGTTTGTTTCATACTCAATATTCAAGCTAAATACAGCAGCCTGTAAATAAAAATGACAAAACCCTTTCCATATTCATGAAAAATATTTGCTAAAATCAGAGTCGATTGTAAGATGCCGACTATTCCATGAACATGTGTTATTATTATTAAACACAGATGACATCTATAATTGAGTTTGAGAGTTGTAAAAGAATATTTAACTAAAACATAATTTCAAAAAACAAATTATTTAACATGAGCATTTTCTTATTCAAAACAAGTCTTCTAATATGGAATTAAATACTTCCACACACATGACCAAACAAACACAACCACCCCGAATTGGGTTCGAAGCCGCTTTAATCAAGACTCCAGCTCTATGTAAATAATTCAGCCTGGACAAAACAGTCCAGTGGTTGATATTATGAGCAATTCCCCTCGCGGTCGAGGTATGACGACACACAATCAACCAAGTCACCAAACCTGACCACCCGATCCACTCAGTCACCTTCTAAGATAAGCATTCTAACCAAGAATTTATACATGAACAACATTTTCCTGTCTAGTTAATTATCAAATCGTCTATGCAAACGACACAGGTGACCATGAAGACCTTCTTCTCCAGACTACAACTAGGTACCGGCGGCAGACCTGCAGGCTAAGTGCAATCCATAGAAATTCTCAAAAATGGTCCGTTTTCACTTGCTCACGACTTTCTTATTTATGGTTTAAAAAAATAAGAAATACATGGAATAAACATTGTCCTTTTTCTTTTGTGATAGCGTGTGTTATTTGTTCATTGAGAAAGAAATGTATATCTGATATAAATTTGCATTGCACTAATTAACCTCATTGATTAGTGCCGTGGAACACTAGCCACAAGACATTTACACCAACGGAAAATACCCAGTCTTTTTCTTCACTCGCACAGTTCACACAGGCAACGAAAAAAAATTTGAAAAATAGTAACGTAACAACCAGAGTTGGCTTTTTATTTAGGTACCAAATTCACTTTGAAAACAGAGTATTTTGTAACAGTAAATCGTATTTAAAATAATTACTTGACCTTAAATCATCATAGCTTCAATGGCTCTTCTTATCAAGAATAAAAAAATAATGATAAATAAAGTAAACTCTCCATAATGAATAAGTCTCTGATTGTATGTTAATTTCACTACTGTAAAGCCTATAAGGAAACCCCTTCTCTTGATGATTATTGTTGATAACATCTATACCATCTTCCTGAGGTAAGGGAGTTAACTGACTATAAAAAGTCCAGTTTCCACCCTTGGCGAACTAGGCTAGTATTATGGAGTTTGACTTTAGCTGGACTAACGAGTCGATGCATAGTCCAATCTAGTTGCCATGCAGATTTCGGTCGATTGCAGGAATTGCAAAGCATGAGCACCACCAACTCAGTGTCAACAGATATTTTCCAAATCTGTTCATGTTTCTAATCAAGGTGCTCACGTGATTTGATGCACTTCGCGATGTAAGACCCGTTTTATCACAATACAGATCTTGATTATTGATCAGATCGTCTTGACTGGGCCCCGCCATTTTGTTTGAAGTAAATGCAAGTGATACGAGAGGTGTAATTTGACTGATCCATATGAGAGGCTTAGAAGGGACATAACTCGTTATAGCCACTGGTGGCGCTACGATCGAGCCCAGGAATTCCAGCCCAGTTTGGCAAGGGTGGAAACTGGACATTTAAAGTCAGTTAACTCTCTTGCACCGGGAAGATGCATCTAAACATATTCAGTGACATATTACAATGTAACCATGGTTTGTAAATCCAGACAATGTGTTACTCCAGACACTTTCATAATCTGGACAATATCACTTGGTATGATAATACATGCATCCATATTAAGGAGGTTTCACTGTATACAGATTAAGTTACAACTTTGAGGACGGACATCATTGTCCTCGGGAGACTGGTTACAACGACACAATTTGTTTGACAGCTGATAGGTAAAGTTGATGAAAATATTCCACAATTTCTATCAAAACATATATTTGGCAAAATTCCTTTAAAAGAGTCTTCAAGCTGTTGCACTTCCACACAGATAAAACCTAACATATGTAAGATATGTATAAATATATGCAGCATGAAATTAAATGCATTGTAAAATTCATTATGTACAGAATTATGGACCTTTGTTATTAAAAAAACAGAAAACACCTTGTATGTAATATATATATGCCCTGACAATCAATTTTCCAAACAAAAATCTTAAAGATATATCCACATATTATTTACAACACATGTAATACAACACTAATACATTTAGTGTTCGAGTTAGTGCTCTTTGGAACTATACTTTATACTACTCAAAAGAAATTAAGGACCACACTCTCCTTTCAATATTACATGACAGATTAATATAGAATACTAAACGAGCTCCCAGGTAATACCAATTTTATGAAATGAGTGAATAGTTGTGGTATCTGACGAGCTTTCGCTACCACAACTATTCACGAGTTTCATAAAATTGGTTTTACACGGAAGCGAGTTTATTACTTGTCATTTATAACGTTTTTTGAATTATACTTTTGAGTATGAATAGGCTGACACCTACACGATCCACGGCATAGTCCAATTGAGTTTAACAGAATAATACTGATAAAAGCGCACAGAGCACTTATGCACAGTGAATGCTGCGCTATACAAAATGCATAAATTATTATTATTATTATTATTATTATTACTTCAAACATGTCAAAAGTTGAAACGTATGCACAAAATTATCGTAGGGCTAAGACTATCGCAACTCACATACTTTAACTTAGACTAACGACTGTCGTTGCGCTACAATACGATTGCCTTGTGGAACGGGCCTTGTACCTCAAAGTTTACAATAATGTCACAATACCCGATGACGTAATTTGTGGAATTTTGTTGCAAGATCCATCGGCGAAACAATGCCATGTGACGTCAGCCTAGCAACAAGGTTGCTGGGGTCATCAAGTGTGCAAAAGCTCCTCTCAGTGATCTATCAACTCCACACGCAATGTCGTTGAATAAGCCAAGGGATGTTGAGAGGTTTCAATATTTGTTCGTGAAACGTGTTCTGAGAGTACATAAGCAAGTGGTATTACACAATGTGTACTACAGCTGTATGTTTATTAAATGGGTGATCTCTTCATGGTCAAGTAATAAACTATAGTAATATAAAAGAATCACATGGTCCTTAACTTCCTTTGAATATTATAATTACATATCACAACATGTCAGATTAAGGAGAGAAGAAAAAAATAGGTGTCAGTGGTGGTAGAATTTTGCCACTTTAGTGAAACCCAGATATGGTTATGGTGCTGACAAACAATGTGTTATGATCAGGGATTTGAACCAAGAAAAACAGATCCAGTAGCTAAGGGACACAACTCCGCAAGCCAGGATGCTATGACTCAGATGACTATTTATGACCATGAACAGATGGCAGGCAACATTATCACAGTGGCTTCACATTCTGTAAACATGTATTAGATTCAAACCAGGTTCATCTGTTACTTGGCTAACACACTCACCACTGGGCTATCCCTTAAGATAACATGAAAACAAGCTTAAAACATTTTAATATCATAACAGCAGCATCTATGTGTGAAATACGCATGAAGTGCACATAAAATCTCTCTCTCTCTCTCTCTCTGTGTTAACAAGAAAACAAAAATAAAATTGAATTATGTATTTAAAATGGACCAGTCAAAATGTCTTTTCCTCAAATGCATATCTTAATGTTGAAAATATTAAGACAAAATTGGTCTGGTTTTTAGATGTTAAAAACATAGTGGCTCTGTCATGTTCATTTCCACCATTAAAGCATATTACCATGAATTAAAAAATATTGTGACAAAGATCACAATTCTGAATAACACATACCAGTACCATATTTGAGGCAGCCTTTGTAAAATATCCCTCCATGTGTTTTGAAGATTAAATAACATGTGTTCTTTTTTAAGTTAGATATAGATAAAATAATGTAGATATTTCATTTCCATCTATAGACATGATAAATTTATCAGTTTTGTAGGATAATTAATAATTCAGGTTACCCTAATTAAAACATAGGTACCTATTACTCTGGTCCTGAAAACATTAACACAGGGTCACAATGGTACAAAACATGTGGTACCGTGCTCAAAAAATGAAATTTTCTTAAAACTAGTTTCCTGCTTCTCATGATTCACCTACCCCCAACTTCATTAAATATTTTTAAGCACTGTTAAAAAATGACTAGCAACTCAATTATCATTTTCGCCTCAGATTCAGATATAAATCTCACACCATGCCAGTCAGAATTGTTCCAGGTTGTCATGGGAACCTTACTGTGGTCACCATGACTTCGGCCACATCACCATGATTCAAGTCAACAGGAGTGTGAGGGGCGGTCGGGTAGCCTAGTGGTTAAAGCGTTCGCCCGTCACGCTGAAGACCTGGGTTCAAATTCCAACATGGGAACAATGTGTGAAACCCATTTCTTGTGTCCCCCGCCGTGATCTTGCTGGAGTATTGCTTAATGTGGCGTAAAAAAAACATACTCACTCACTCACTCACAAGGGGTGTGGCCAAGAGAGGTCACATTGTACATTAGAATCAAGGTTATGTTTATAGAATTGGATTTAATCTAAGAAATAAAAAAATATAATCTATCATTCCTACCCATTTAGTTTTCAGAAGTCATGAGACACAGGAATTGTTTTTAACTGTCCTTGTTCAGGGACCAGGCTTAACAATCATAAAACACATGTACTACTGTTGTCCGTATCCTCCATGACATCACATACTCGGGAAAATGAGATCTTCCATCCTACAGATGACTACACACCTGGTCACAAGCAATTACCACGATACACTACTTTGTCAAACTAACTCCCCCTCAATCTGAACATATTAAGACAAAGTGGGAGGGTACCGATCCCAATCCAAGGGTCACATGAATGCAATCAAGGGAATGTTAGTTTTGAACAGTACTGTATCTAGAAACATGGTTAACAGATAGCATACATCTTTCAGTAACAACTGACACAACCTCTTTAACATGATGTGCAGAAATGCATTTGGGTATTTTATAGTAAAACATAAATCATGATCATATGTACAGCTTATGCTGAAAATAAACAAATATTGTCAATATATAAATATTTGACATTTTTTGCCAAATAACATGTTTATCTCATCAAGTGACTTGACAAAATTGATATTTTCATGACTGACGCATGAGATGGGATAAACATATTATTTGACAAGGACAAATGTTCTGTATATAATGTATTCAATTTACTGATCTTTACGATCTTACTAAGAAAACCATTATCATTGAAGCAAACCGAAAATAGCTCTTGAATAAAGTGTTCTGTAACCTGAGTGAGATATCAGTTCTGTTTGTTCAGATGAATACTTTATGTCATCACTAAATACATAATCAGTTATAATGCATGATGCCAACAGCCTGATCACAACAAGTTCTCTTGCCTGAAGCCTGAACTGGATGACGTGAGGTGCGGTGAAATGAGGTTGAACAGTGTGCGTGAGTGCGTGTGTGTACTGGTCAGGACTCATGCCGATTTTATACTGCCAGCTCACTGAGATACCATGACGCAGTTCAACATGTATAACATGAATACCCACTCAGACACAGTATACTGACTCCGAGCCGACCAGTACTTGTTTTAGCCCCTAAATACCGAACGCCAGGCAGGGTAACAACAAGTACTATCTTTTAACGTCTTTTGGTATGAACCAGCTGGGGATCGAACCCTGAACTTTCCACTCTCTAGGCAGATGCTCAACCACTAGACCATGGTGGCAGTCCCTGGACTCGAAGAAACTGTACAAACAAGGACTGAAAGACCTTTCCTTAAGCCAAATGACTCAGTTTTTTTTCAAATTTGGGATAGAGACAAAATAAAAATTCTTAGCAGATAGGTACTCTTTTTTTTACAGTGGCAAATCAAATTACAGCACAGTCCAACCCACTTACAATGAACATGGATATTGCTTCTGGTGATATCAAAGATCAAACTTGATCACCAACCCAATTCAGTGCCATACAAATGCTACGCTTCCTGTTTTCTCACTGACTAGTTACGGTCTTGGCAGTATGTAGACAGACCTGACATCAGGCCAAAACACAAGCATGTATTTCAGCCCATCCAAAAAAGGGTAGGTAGGTTGGCTTTTTGTCAGATTTTATTCTTGTTTTGTTTTCCCTTGAAGAAATGCAATGCAATTTCTCAGTAAATACCTAACTAGTTACGATAATGACAGAAGTTGACCAAGTTACTCTGGTGGAATAAAAAATGGACAACCCCAGGATGCTGATGACAGCTGGTAAGAATCAGGGACTACAGATGAGGGTGCGGAAAGCTGAAACACACATATATATATTTTTTGGCCTCATGATAATAACCGTCAATGATTCGCGGAGATATGTACATCATATTACAACCAAATATTACTCTGTTGCATATTAATTTACAACTGTATTTATATGTCATCAGAACAGAAATACTTAACTAAAAAACAGAGGACATGGTTTTCGCAAAGTAGTAGCAAATATGACCATATGATATGAAGTGACAATGAAGTGTACAGCTCCCTTAAGAAGTAGAAAGCTAAGACTGGAATAATAACCCCTTGATCCATGGCACATGTGGCATTGGTAATTGTAGAACTTTCTCCCACAGAGAACAAATGATCTACTGTATTGATATAATGATAAAGCCAGAGCAATTAAATTCTTGGTTCCACGATTATCTTTGTCAATCTGCCAAAATGCAGGTCAACAATCCAAATAAGAATAAAATGTTTTATGTCAGTTTTTTCAATGCAACTCTTGAAATGAAAATGAAATTTTTAGCAAAAATTTAAAAACCTGGATGCAAAAAATTATTTTTTATATTATACTATTATATATTATTATATTATTTATTTAATATTTATATTTAATTATAGATATTGCTTTACAGTAAGCTTGTCTGAAAGTCAAGAAAAAGAATTGATGGTCCATACTGACTATCAATACAATGTTAAAATATACTTGAGTCATCCGATATGGAATTCACACAGCCTCAGATTAAACACATCAGTCAATAATACTAAACACAACAAACACAACAAACACAACAAACACAACAAATAGAACAAAATAAAACATAAATATCTTATTTGGTTGGTAATATTGAATACATTGCTGTGAACAAATCTAACAGTACTCCCAATCCGGTGGAGGTAACGCACTACGTCCCGGGCTGAAAACCTGGAAACTAAAACAATGCCCCATTATATAAAACAAAGAACCAGTTAGAATTTTCTAAAAATACTGTATACATTGTATACATCTTGTACTATTTGTATGTCCATTTGATCCCAAAATAAGAACTCTGTAAACCTATGCAGTAACCATGGTAACTATAAACCACTGTAACCATAGCAACTACAAACAACAACACCCTGATTGGCTGATGGATGTACTCTGGTGAATCCTCATGTATCCTGGTGAGTCCTCATGTATCCCGGTGAGTCCCATGTGTCACACGATGTCCCGGGCTGGTCGTGGTGAGGTCACGGCCTGATGCACGGCATCGTCACAGGTGAGGTACAATAGATCTCCGAACTTCTTCATGAAGCCTGTAGATTCCAGCAGCCCTAGATTCGCCTCTAGAAACAGAGACAATGAAATAAACAACACAGCACAAAAGGCTTGTTGTACCAAGAACACTATAAGTTGAAGCAGGATCTCGAGGGGTACATGGGATTTTATGCGTCCTTCTCATGATCCTGCTACGACAAATTTTTCTTAGGCTAAAAAAAATAATTGTCTTGGTTCTCAGGAACCGCCCGCATCATCATCAAGTTCGCCGCATGTTTCACTTTTATTACAATTTTTTAAAAATATATATAAAAAATCCAACTTGTATTCCAGTATTCTTGTATAAAAAAAAGACACCGCCCGCCTGCACTATATTTTCAAAAAACATTGCCTGAGAGTCTGTTAGAAGAGAGGTAAATATCATAATGTTGTAACATTACATCATTGTTAAAGCTGTTAAGAATCACTGCATATAGATTTGAATTACCACGACTACAGTATCTGGTATTATGTTAACTGACAGCTACATACTCAGATCTTCAGGGTAAACTGACAGGTACATACTGGGATCTTCAGGGTAAACTGACAGGTACATACTTGGATCTTCAGGGTAAACTGACAGGTACATACTGGGATCTTCAGGGTAAACTGACAGGTACATACTGGGATCTTCAGGGTAAACTGACAGGTACATACTTGGATCTTCAGGGTTAACTGACAGGTACATACTGGGATCTTCAGGGTAAACTGACAGGTACATACTGGGATCTTCAGGGTAAACTGACAGGTACATACTGGGATCTTCAGGGTTAACTGACAGGTACATACTCGGATCTTCAGGGTTAACTGACAGGTACATACTCGGATCTTCAGGGTTAACTGACAGGTACATACTAGGATCTTCAGGGTAAATGACAGGTAGATACTCGGATCTTCAGGGTTAACTGACAGGTACATACTTGGATCTTCAGGGTAAACTGACAGGTACATACTTGGATCTTCAGGGTAAACTGACAGGTACATACTGGGATCTTCAGGGTAAACTGACAGGTACATACTTGGATCTTCAGGGTAAACTGACAGGTACATACTGGGATCTTCAGGGTAAACTGACAGGTACATACTGGGATCTTCAGGGTAAACTGACAGGTACATCCTTTGATCTTCAGGGTAAACTGACAGGTACATACTGGGATCTTCAGGGTTAACTGACAGGTACATACTGGGATCTTCAGGGTTAACTGACAGGTACATACTGGGATCTTCAGGGTAAACTGACAGGTACATACTTGGGTCTTCAGGGTAAACTGACAGGTACATATTAGGATCTTCAGGGTAAACTGACAGGTACATATTAGGATCTTCAGGGTAAACTGACAGGTACATACTGGGATCTTCAGGGTAAACTGACAGGTACATACATGGATCTTCAGGGTTAACTGACAGGTACATACTGGGATCTTCAGGGTAAACTGACAGGAACATACTGGGATCTTCAGGGTAAACTGACAGGTACATACTGGGATCTTCAGGGTTAACTGACAGGTACATACTGGGATCTTCAGGGTTAACTGACAGGTACATACTGGGATCTTCAGGGTTAACTGACAGGTACATACTGGGATCTTCAGGGTAAACTGACAGTTACATACTGGGATCTTTAGGGTAAACTGACAGGTACATGCTCGGATCTTCAGGGTAAACTGACAGGTACAAACTCAGATCTTCAGGGTAAACTGACAGGTACATACTGGGATCTTCAGGGTAAACTGACAGGTAGATACTCGGATCTTCAGGGTAAACTGACAGGTACATACTGGGATCTTCAGGGTAAACTGACAGGTACAAATACTCGGATCTTCAGGGTAAACTGACAGGTAGATACTCGGATCTTCAGGGTAAACTGACAGGTACATACTGGGATCTTCAGGGTAAACTGACAGGTACAAATACTCGGATATTCAGGGTTAACTGACAGGTACATACTCAGATCTTCAGGGTAAATTAACAGGTACATACTAGGATCTTCAGGGTAAACTGACAGGTACATACTAGGATCTTCAGGGTAAACTGCCCTGACATAGGAATACTATGGAATACTATGTGGTTTTGCTAGGGCTAATATATGACTAGCATATTTATTAACTTCAACAGAGACCAAAAACAATTCCTGAAATCCTTACCTCTCACTTCTGCTAGAAGAACTTCAACATGTATAGAGTCAAACTCTGTTATAATCTGGAACAAGATAAATCAACGTGCAATCTTAGAAAGTGAACGAATGTCAACAGTACTATACATGTATCCAAGCAAGCAGGAATCAGACCACAAGCAGACACATCATTTGTTACCTGTTTGTTTGCTTGTTGTTTTAACATCGCAATCACCAATCAGCTATGTTATGACGGTCTAAATAATCCAATCTGAACCAGACAATACAGTGAATGACATTATGAGCATCAATCTATGCAAACAGGATGATTGATTGATTGATTGATTGATTGATTGATTGATTGATTTGGGGTTAACGTCGCTCTTAACACTATTCCAGTTATATCGCTGCGTGTCAGCTTAATGTGGGAGGAAAGCCCAAAGTAATGCAGGTCTCAGACGTTTAACACTTTGGTGAAACCCATGAGCACGGGCATGGTGCTGACAAACCTAGAAACATAGTCAGGGCAAACTGGGATTCAAACCCACTATCATAGGTTTCTGGTGTGCCCAAGGGACGCAACTCTGTACAGCGAATCGCAGGGCCTTAGACGACTGGGCCACCAGTGCCCCCTCGGGATAAAATGATATGCACCAACCAAATAAGCATGTCTGACCACCTGATCCTGTTTGTTGCCTCTTGTGACAAGCATGGGTTGGTGAGGGCCAATTCTAACCCGGATCTTCACAGGGTGTACTTAACAGTGAAGCAGTTGATTTACAGGCTGCTTACAGCATTACTCAAGCCAAGGACAAAGAATGGAGTTCACACATCAACATGTGTATGTTGGGAACTGACTCCAGGTGTTTGGCCAGACAAGCCAACATTACAACTTAGGCTATAGTGTGGGCATCAGTGGGAGCATGAATCTGCACCATCAAGGCATGGTGTGACTCAGCAAAGTAAAACAGAGCTGGGCATCCACTGAAGTTCCAGACTCAGTGGCCATTGTGACCAAATAATCCCCTTCCATGTCACCAACAACTACAAACTAACTAGTGAACTAGTGCACAGTGCTTCCTCATGTAATAAATACGCTTGATGTTTGTTCGTTTGTTGTTTAATGCCACACTCAGCACTGTTCCAGCCATATGACGGCGGTCTGTAAATCCAATGATTGACATCATGAGCATCGATCCACTCAATTGGGATACAATGTCATGCATCAACCAAGTCAGCGACCACCCGATCCCATTAGTTGCCTCTTACGACAAGCATAGTCGATATTTACAGGAAGCATGGGTTGCTATGGACCTATTCTACGCCGGATCTTCACATGTCACCAAAGCTTGAAAGATTTGTAATTTTATCTAAAGTTATTCAGTGACCTTCAGTGTAATTCTCATATTTCAAATCAAAACACTTCCAAAATATCGAAAAAAGAACCTATTTTGGGGTTCAAAATTTCACAAGTACTTCCATGAACCCTGCAACAAAGACTCCAAGCGGCTTTCCTCTTACCTGTTGTATAGCTGTAACCCCCATGATATCAACAAATGTCACACCAGTCATGTCAATGACAATATGGTGTAGTGTAGACTTTAAGTCTTTGTTGCCTGGCAACAGGTAGATGGCAGTGTCTGGAGCGCCATCACCATTATTGGCAGCATACGTAGCAACATCCCCTTCTCCGCTTGTAGGCCGCTGAGGAACAGTACATTTTGTCAGTTACCATGGTTACGGACCTGTTATTCATTAACTGAGAGAGTGACTATTTTCAGTCTGTGCTAAAAGCTTTTGCAATAACTAAACATGTATATTGGCATTATTTTCAGTAATCTTAGTTTCAGAATATATAGACTAGTACTGTTATTCATCAAGGATTCAGAACCAAGTGTTCCTAGAAGTTATATGGACTTAATGACATCACTTTCTTTTTGGACAAACACAGGTGCAATGCACGGCACCTTTAAAACAGAACAACCCATGCCTCTAACATCAGGGACTAACATCTGCCCATACCTCCCTGCAGTTGTTGCCCACATGATTGGTCTCCTCCTCCTTATCCACCACCATCTCCTTCGTCTTCTTCCGCAGCTTCAGGGGATTCAGTCCTGACAACTTGTACACCTTCTTCTTGAAAATGTCTGCATTGGCGAAATACAGCGGCGAATCCATACGGATCACTCGGACACCAGCCATCTCTTTGACCTGTGGCAGGAAGACATTAAAACACCATCCTACAAATACTGCACTTAGAGTGAGAGAGTGAGTCAGAGTGTGAGTCTGTATGAATCATTTGGACACCCAATTTGATTTGCACCCAGGATCCTGGAAGAACTAAGGGATGCAACTCTGAACATAACAGCACTTCACACTGACATGTGAACTACGACAGCAAGATGTATCATGGGTTCAGACTGTCTCCCAGTAATGTGAAGTTAAAGCTGTATAAATTAATAATTACATTTTTATGCAATTCTACAAAAAGGTGAGGGCAGGAGGCATTGCATTGTTATATTTATCTGATTAAAGGTGTGTTTTTTTTCTCAAGGCCAACATTTGCATGAACTGTTGACTAATGCTTCCTAATGTGACAAGTCCACTCCCAACATTTCTTGAATGGCAAGCACTGATCAGCAACAGGTGCAGAAAGATCAAGGTCACCCGACATGACTTTGTTAAAGCCTCCTGCTGGTTGCTGACTGCTGTTATTCTTGACTATATTCTAATAATTTTATCAAGGTAAGAAACAATGCAACACACAGTCATTTTCTTTGTCTGTAGGTTCTTGGGGACAAAACATGAAGTGGCAGTTATGGGAATGACATGGCCTTATGGACATGTTGTCCTGATAAAGTTTAGTTTTAGTTCTGTTCTTGTCATCTCAAAAATATTCCTACATCTTAGAACATATAGACCACTGCTGAATATCTTTCTGTGTAAGCTAGAATCAGTTGACACTCACGTCTCTGTACTGCCCGAGAGAACGGTATTCCTCACTGGAACCGACGGTGCCCACAGCAACAGATGTTGACCTGACATCACACAAGCAAAATTACATCCTAGTCCAACGGACGCATCAATGTATTAAGAAATTTGTATGTTTCTCATTTCTACAGACCTTTAGTTGGGCTTGTTTAGAGACCGATATTCGGCCCAAAGTATGCAGCAAAATTGAGGTGAGGTGAGGTGAAATTGGGTTTAACATCCAAGATTATTGCACTTGATTGTGTGTGTGTGTGTGTGTGTGTGTGTGTGTGTGTGTGTGTGTGTGTGTGTGTGTGTGTGTATGTGTGTCTGCTTGTACTAGTCCAGACTAATGCCGATTTTATAGCACTAGCTCACTAGCCGCAGTTTAACATGAATACCCCTTGTTTTAGCCCCTTAATGCCGAGCGCCAGACAGGGTAACAACAAGTACCATCTTTTAACATCTTTTGGTTAGACGCGGCCAGGAATCAAACCCCAGACCTTCCTCTCTCCCGGCGGACGCTCTACCACTAGACCACGGAGGCGGTCGCAGCAAAATTGAAACTAAAACTTGCCAAATTCATAGTCGTATCTAATGTCACGGCTTTGTAGAGGTAATTTGTAAATCACTGACAACAGGAACAATATAGAAGAAGAGGTGTTGATGCTTAGTTTTACAATAATGCACTAAATGCAATTACAAAATAAGAACAATATAATGATTAAAAGCTTAACCATGCGTGAAATAATTTATATATTTTGTAACTCTACGATGAATAAGCTTTTAGAAAATACTACCTGTTACTACTATGTACATAGGAGAAAATCGCTATCAAAAACAGAACATTTTGCTCGATTTTTACACATTTTTCTCCCAATTTGACCGTTTATTATTTTTCTTATGACATTTTTTTCATGTCATTCGATAACTAGTAGAATGATCAATAACTGTACTTAATTTTGTTTTATTATTTTCACAAATAACGCTTGTAGAGACATTTTTGTGCAAAATGCAGAACTCCATGGTCCACTGACAGGCCGTCACGCATACGAGTGACCCCTCTCAGGTGGTCACTTGTACGCGAGATGGGAGAGCCGTCTCGCGTACACGTTACGTCCTCTACTGTTAACTAATGAAAACTGTATTTCCTATTAGGTAGGGCTGGGACGGGTAACTCGGGTTATCAGGTCGGGTGGGTACTGAGTAGAACCCGGGGACCCACAGGACTACCCGGACCTGTGGATAGTCATGTGATTTATTGTTTAATGACAAAATATATCTGGAACTCCATGGTCGCATTACAAGTCACATACGTTTGCATTTCTTTCTGACTATGCACCCATTTCTTCTCAAATTTATAGGTTTGAACAAAGATAAAGCTTCAGTCAACTTCAGTGTATGCATGACCAGATCGTTTTATGTGTATATAAATACATTTTGCCAAATGTTCCAAATCAGACATTTTGTACCTATCTCTTGAGACCTGTAGAGGGTACCCGGGTAGGGTCGGGGAATAGGGGGTCGGGTACCCGGGTTGTAAATTTGGACTCGTCCCAGCCCTACTCTTAACCCTTCCACAGGATGACATACCTCTGGGTTCTGACCACCACCATCAAGGTGCACACAAGGAAGCCGATCATCAGGCCTTTGTCGGCATCGAGGATCACAGAGGCACAGAAGGTGAACACCCACACAATCTGAAGCAGACCACAACTTACAGTTGGTTTTGTTTGTTGTTTAACTGTAAACAATCGAATCTCGACCAGATAATCCAGTGATTGATATCATGAGCATAGATCCATGCAACTGGGTTGGTTGGTTGGTTGGTTGGTTGGTTTGTTGTTTAACGCCGCACTCAGCAATATTCCAGCTATATGACGGCGGTGTGTAAATAATCGATGCACCATGAGGATATGCCACCACCCTCACAGCATGAAACACAGATTGTCACCCATCTTACAGTCAGACCAACACAGCCACATCACCCATCTGACACACAGTTCTACTGACACAGCCACATCACTCAACTCACACAGTCATAGTGAGATTTCCTCCACAGATCCCTGAGCTGGAAGAGCTTCATGAACATCCCTCGTAGATTGACTATGATGATGGAGGACAGCACACACTGAAACAGACAACTTGATTTAGCACAGCTAACTTGTATTTCTCCCCCCTCCCCCTCCCCCTCCCCACAGCAGGAATGATGCATAGTTAATTTCAGTAAAAGTAAAGTAATTCAAGGCCAATATTGAAAATTTATACCATGTACATTTGGGCCCTTTCGAAGGGGGATAACTCTAGTTACTGACGATAAAAAAAGATTGTAAAAAATCTTTTCTTCAAATTTTTTTTGCTAGAAATATTCAAGGCCTTTTCTATTTTTAAGCCAGTAACAACCAGGGCTGCTTTGAGTACTCACCAGGGGGAGTGCGTGTAGGTGCGGCCCCAACACCATGATCACCAACAACACCACAGAACACGCTACGAGGGAGGTTACCTGAAACCATGGCAACGACTTCAGTCAATTCAAACATCTTCAAACACGAGCGAGAGCAACATCAACCTAACCACAAGATCAACCGAACAAAATATTTTACACCAGAAAGTTTGTGTGGTTTAAAGTGAGTGAGTGTGTTTATGCTTTACATCACATCGGCAATATTTCAGCCATATCATGATGGTGTGGTTTAAAGCCACTTCTAATACACAAACTATCCAGCCATACACTTTGCTTCACAAATTTTAGCTATGTAAGGAACTGAATTTTTGTTTCAGTGAGTGGTCCAATGCTTTAATCACTGGCCTACAACATTGTGCCCACTAAAGTTGAACGATCGCGAAATTAATGCAAACAAAATTAATTGAAATCTTGGTAATATAATGGATTACAAACACAGGTCTAGATACACAATGAACACTTTTATAGCCAGATTGTGTAATAACAGGACTGACTTGCGTACATCAGTATATTCGTTGATATGCTACTTCTGGTGTTACGTGTACACAATGATGTCTTCACATTGTCAAATAAAATCGAAGCTCATTGTATGTGTGTATTATGCACACACTGGTTGTCCAACGGTAGTTAAATACTGTATTCCATTATTTTACTCATCATACATTTTTATAGGGAGGCCCTTTCCCAGGTAGATAGTACACAAATGTTTATTTGGTTACATACATGTTCAAAACTATTGCACTTGGATGTAAATGTATGGCTGCTTGTACTAGTCCAGACCTAATGCCTGTTTTATGGTGATGGCCCACTGAAATACCATGCCACAGTTTAACATGGATAACACATTCAGACACATTACTGACTCTGAGCCAACCAGTCCAAGCTTTATTCCAGTAATGCTAAGTGCCAGGCAGGGTAACAACAAGTACCATCTTTTAACGTCTTTTTGTATGACACAGCCAGGGGGCTCCAGCCACAGACCTTCCAGACTTTGTACAAATTTTGACCGCCCAATATAAAGGATGAGTGGGTTCGTGAGCCAATCAGGTGTCAGCTTTCTAAAATGATTCAGCTCCATTCTTTACCATCTCAATTTGAACAATTTGATTTTGGCAAAAGCCACACGGAACACAAATATTCCTTCAATGGTACATCATCTTAGGAGTAGATGCAATGGCACTCAGGAACAACATGACAGAATATCCAACAATAAATGGCATAAGCTTTATTAATTACATCTGGAACTGTCTGTTTATGTTCATTTTCGAGAGGCAGAAATAGGATATTCTGGGCTGATTTAAGAAGATTGACATGGAATGGCTGATTAGAATATTCACCTGTCTCAATCTCCAATGAAGACGTTATTAGATCCTCACACAGAGTGGTATTGTATGGGAGTAAAAGATCTGATTTTAATGAGATTGGCAAAACTTCAATTCATGTGCAGTTGTGCAAAGGGTTATTGTTGATTGATGCCATTTTTCAGGAATCAGTGCAAGTATGGTTGTACTTAAAGGATGTGTTTGTTAAAGCCAGGGGTTGTCACACGTATCACCATGTTACCTGCGTTCTTCCCCCAGCTCCGTCCTGAACCAGACTAAGAGATATGGAAGCTGACACCATGTAGCCAGAAAATATGGCCGCTACCACCCCTGCTGTACCTGAGGCAAACATCTCCTGTAACATCATCATGTGACAAGTCATATCACCTTAACTCGTTATCTCACCTGAGTGCGTCCACCCGCACCGTCCTGCACCAGGCTGCGAGATACAGACGCTGCAGTGATGTAGCCAGAAAATAATGCACAAACCACGCTTGCAGTTCCTGTTGCAAACATCTCCTGAAAGATCATTTCATGAATTAGCAGAATGTTGCACCATCCTCGGTTATCCAGGGTATTATCTCTCCTATACTCACTGACAAAAGAAACACGAATACCATACATGATGGTTAATATTTAATGAATACTCATATTCAAGAGATATTAGATTGTTTCGATGCACAAACGAACATACTGTTATGTTGTGCAAACCGACGCTTATGAATGCATCTCATGTGACGTCATAGATCCATGACTCGAGATGTGCCATTTGTCTCGTGCAGGATTAGCGTTTAAAATTTGGAAATCACGTGCAGCATATCGTGATAAGAATAAAGCCACTGTGGTAACACTTGACAGATTGTTAGTTTTGTCATTTAGTGGTACACATTTGAAACATCTCTTCTTAACATACATACTTCTCTCCATGTTTCTATGGTTCACATTTGGTTCTGTTGGTGGTGAGTATATATTAACGTACCCTGGACCCAGTTACCATGGTTACCACCTGCTTCCTTTTGAGCCTAGAGCAAATGTCACAATGCTAAAATAGCCTTTAACTAGCCTCAGGGCCATCTTCCCGAGGCAAGAGAGTTAACTGACTATAAAAGTTCAGTTTCCACCCTTGCCGAACTAGGCTGGTATTATGGAGTTAGATTTTGGCTGGACTAATGACTCTATGCATAGTCCAAACAAAATCGCCACTGAAATCGAAATCCGGTTCGTAAACTGTCATACAGATTTCGGTCGACTGCGGGATTTGCACAGCATGTGCACAAGGCCATGTTGTCAACAGCTATTTTCCAAATCTTTTCAAGTTTTTAATCAAGGTGCTCACGTGATTTGATGCACTTCGCGATGTAAGACCAGTTTTATCACAATTTAGATCTTGATTATCGATCAGATCGTCTTGAATGGGTGCCGCCATTTTGTTTGAAACAAATGCAAGTGTTACGAGAGGTGGAATTTGATTGGTCCATAGGAGAGGCATAGAAGGGACTTAACTCGTAACAGCCACTGGTGGCGCTACGATCGAGCCCAGTAATTCCAGCCTAGTTCGGCAAGGGTGGAAACTGGACTTTTAAAGTCAGTTAACTCCCTTGCTTCGGGAAGATGCCTCAGGGCTGGCTAAAAAGATTGATAATCGTGGTTATCGTGGATGGGAAGAAATATTTACGATTATCGATATGAAATTGTCTCATCTATAATAACTTACATAAACTATTGTTATGAAATAAAGTTCAACTTTACCCAATCAGACTTGTTATTGTCAATCGCGTCAATTGACAACGATGGATAGCAACTGTTTTTGTACATACTGGTATATCTCAAATGTCCACAAAGTAATCTACGTATAAATGAGTCACTGCACACCAGTGGGGGGAAATATTTTGATTTCTTTTGTGACTTTCTTGCATATTTGCTCAAAGTTACTTCTTCAATATTTTTTTAATAATTGATCATTATTTAGTTAGCGATAATCGATCTCTATGCTCTATATCGATAGCCAGCCCTGCTTGTTGCGTACCATCTCAAAATGGTAACATCTGATAACATACCGACTCTGGCCCTATATCATCGTATATCTTGATAGTCAGGGAAACTTTCACTAAAAGGTCATTGATAACAGTCCGATGATTCGAAATAAATATTTGTTTAGGAATCTTTTATACAAAGCTGCAGTTTTGAAACAATATAAAGGCCTTTTGTGCCGTCTCACACACATTGTCCATTGATCATAACAATGTAATAGCGCCATTTATAACAAAACTATCTGTTCCCTATATCATGTTTATAACTATATACACTACCTCTCCCAACAAGCTATATCATCAAAGCATCACACAACAGGGTTTGAGAAGGATCTTTCCACTTCTAGCTCTATATTCTCATTAATGTAAAGCCCCTAAACCATGCTAGATGACCCACTCACAATGTCACACAACCACAGGAGACTGTAACACTGTACCTTACTGTTCAATATTAATTTATCCATTTTTTACTGAAACTTTAAAAAATATATATAACAAGGGCAAAAGTGAGCGTGGCTCACTAATACCCCCGACCCGCCTAGTGTGTCAGTAGTTTCAAAATAAATAATGGATAGGGTTAGGGTTTGAAAAATTCATAAAAAAATGGAAAATTAATAAAAACAATTTTTTTCTTTTGACTGCACCCCTCCATATGACACAGATTATATGTACTAAGTTTGAGATGAATCCACTGAATGGTTTAAGGGAAATCGTGAGGACAAACTTTTCAGACGAACGGACAGACGGACGGAATCTTGGTATAACTATATATATATAATAACAGTGCTAGAAGCTCCATGTGCATACAGGGTGGGGAATAGAACCCAGGACACCAAGCCACCACTATCACCACTGAGCTACCAAGCCACCCACAAGGGTAATTCATACATAAAGTTTTGCAAATTAAAAAAAATCATTTATCACTGTTCATAAAAATGCAATTAATGACAGAATAGTGAGCCTGATGAGTGAGCACGAATAGGAATAACATAAAATATGTGTGTTTCCAAATATACAAAAAACAAACATATTTCGAAGATCATTATTCAAAGAATTCATGTCCAATCCCTTCAAACAATCATCAATGGTTAATTGGAACAGCATTACTAACTAAACAGTTATTTGTTACAGGATAACTGGAACTCATCACATGCATACCGGATACATGCAATCAAACTGAAACATACTGAAATAAAACACAAATAGTGAATACAAAACCAAGACAGCTCTAAACATGCACAGAATAACACAGTACAAGGAAAAAATAATTCATATCAACATTTACATCATGTTTAGGCCTGGCCAAGTTAATTACTTGTTTAAAAGATCTGCCTGCGTCATTTTAGCCATGTTAGCCATTTTCCAAATAAATGTAATAAAGAAAAACATTATGTTGGAGGCATAACTGTCACTTGTGGTTTGTCGTTTGTTGTTTAACACTGTACTCATAAATATTCCAGCTATACAGTTGCTGTCTGTCAATTATCGAGTCTGGACTAGACAATCTAGTGATTGACATCATGAGCATCAATCTAAACAATTTGGATATGATGACATGCATCAACCAAGTCAGCAAGCCTGACCACCCGATCCTGTTAGTCACCTCTTAAGACACACATGGGCTGCTGAAGACCAATTGTAAGCCAGATCTTCACAGGGTTTGTGTCTTGTAACCTTCATCTCAAACTGAAACTTTCACATTTTGACGAGTTTCTTCTCTACTGCTTGTTCAAGCAAAGACTTCACTTGAAGTGAAAGGATAGCACATTTTCACTCCCAAAAGATGAACCCAAAGATGTGTGTGTACAACTGGCACAAAGCAGTAACAAATTCTGATTGTGATCTTTTAATTCTAATTAACTTGGTCTGGCCTTTCTACCATTTTTACTTCTCAAAAGATTTTAATCATGTCAGAATATCACAGAGAGAACCACAGAAGCTCCCCAAATAAGCATGCATGAACCACAGTCAACCAAATAACTGAAATGTTTTACAACTTATACAAAGCTAATCATGTAACCATGGCAACAAAAAATCTTCACTCCAATATTCTTTCAAAAGGAAATCTCACTTTAAAAAGGTTCCCATGCCTTGAACCAGAACATGATAGATACGACAACATCAAACATTAAAAAAATATATTGTGCATAATCTCACTAAAATCAGTTCTTTTATTCTGATACAATATCTCTCTTCATGAAAATCTTAGGACACTTCCATCGGTCACATCAGGTGAACATTCTAATCAACCAATCAGCATCCAGGCTTCTAAAGTCTCGGTATGAGTGAGCGGAGCATTCAGACAGCCATATCTGATTTCTCTATCTCAACAACGAAGTTAATGGAGGTGTAACAAATGCAAACTTTATACAATGATTTATCTAGAACTGCTCAGTGGCTCAGTGGCTCAGTTGAATCCTAGATAAAGCCCTGCTATAAAGCCCTGCTATAAAATTGTTGTGGACATTCAATTCATCCTGCCATTTCTGAGCAGGATAGCATCTACAACAAAAGCGTGAACTATGGAGGCTATCTTTGCTGAGATGGAAATTTCCGAAAGAAGGCAGTAGAGAAATGAAGCCAAACAGTTTTAGAAAGCTGACATCTGATTGGCTCAAGAACCCTCCCATCCTTCACCCGATGCGATTTTCTACGGAAATGTTGTCAGATCTTCACAGAGAGTTATCATATCAGAGTGCAAGGTCTGATTTGAATGAGATTGTCATGTGCCACACCATCCATCAGCCACGACATAACAGATGTGTGGTCCTAACTCACCTGATTTGAATCCACCTTGTAGTTGTTCTTCATGCCTAGTGTTTTGGCCATGGATATAGTTTGTGCATAGGCTACAATGATGATGATCAGGGCTTCAAAGAAGTAATCCTTCGCAAGTAATATGTTGGGTACTCGTGGAACAGGCACCCTGAAATAGGTTCATGTTCAAGTTACTTTAAAATACTGATGTCAGGGTGAAGGTCACTAAACAGTTTCTGGGTGAAGGTCATTAAAAACCAAACGAGGTTTCGGTCTGAATGTTACTAAGAAACGAAACAGGTTTTGGGCTGAAAGTCACTCAAATAGAAGGCAGTTTGAGGTGAAGGCCTGTCACCACAAAACAGGTCAGTTTAGGCATGCACAAGGTGAAGGTCACCAAAAAGATGAATAAGTCTGGTGTTTCAATGTGAAAATTATGTTCCCTGTAATAGGATAATCAAAATGTTCATAAACACATAGATAAGTGAAAGTGTTACTTCTGCCCACAAGGCCATGGAATACACCCAAATGATGAGTACTGTTACGAACACCTATCATGTCTATATACAACTAGAGTATGATTACTGCGCATCAAGGACACATTATTTCACACTGGAGAATCCCTGGGATGTGACAGGAAATGCCTGTTAGCAACAATAATGCTATCAAATTCTACCGGGCACCCATTCACTGCTGGGTGAACAGAGGCACATTTCGAACAAAGTCACTTGCCGAAGGAGACACGACACGTGTTACATGTGCTTCAGTGTGGGGCAGGGCTGAAGCCCTAGAAACTATCAGGAACCGAAACAATTCATCAAAGGACTCTCTGTGACCGATGTTGCTCAACTTCACCTGATTGGTGACCTGTGCGCTACTATCAGAGTTCATCTACTACTAACACTCACCCCCCTGGTATTGTCCCCACCACAGGAACATTGTAAGTGTCCTGCAGATCCAGGAAATACGAGGCAACTGTTCCAAGGATCACCTGAAAGCAAGGTTACTCAATAAGTTGTATGCTTGTGGCTTAACGCCTGTCAGCAATATTCCAACTATATGGCAGCGACCTGTAAATAACGGAGTCAGACAATCCAGTGATTTTATGAGTCATCATTTAACTAATATTTATATCTACATGCACCAAGTTCATGTCCAGAAAATTCAAATTTGTGCGCAACTAACCCTTCAATCTTTCAACACACTCAACATCTCTAAGCTTTATTTTCAATACTATCAACAGAGACCTGAGATTTTATTTATTTAGACTAGTTGATGCATTTGTGTTTCAACTTTGATAAATTTTTGGGACCAGGGTGCGGCCTGGTTAAGTCAAATGCAACAAGCTTTATATGCCAACATGCACCTGGTCAAGTTCCTTAAGTCAAGCCCTGTTATGCCAGGGACCAATTCTAACCTGAATCTCACCCACATCTTCCCGAGGCAAGTCCAGTTTCCACCTTTACCAAACTAGGCTGGAATTCCGGAGTTACATTTTGGCTTCACTAGTGACTCTATGCATAGTCCAATCAAAATTGTGAAACAAACTAGACGTCCTGTTTGTAAACAACATGGAGATTTCGATCAACGGCAGGATTTGAAAAAGGGTACCGTCAACTGGTTGTTGACAGTTATCTTCCAAATCTTTTTATGTTTTAAAGAAGGTGCTCAAATGACTTGATGCACTTCCTGAGGTAGGAACCATTTTATAACAATATACATCTTTATTATCGATCAGATCATCTGAACTGGGTGCTGCCATTTTGTTTGAAGCAAATGCAAGTGATATGAGAGGTGGAATCTGATTGGACAATAGCAGGGATATTGAAGGGACATAACTCGTAAGAATAGCCACTGGTGGCGCTATGATCGAGCCACGAAATTCCAGTGTAGTTCGGCAAGGGTGGGAACTGGAATTTTGTAGTCTGTTTATTCCCTTGCCTCAGGAAGAACCAACTTGTTTCCCTTCCATCATGACTGTGCAAAAAACTGGTTTCTAAACCTACTGAATGATCAATTAGAGGTCTCAAATTAGAACTTAAATGAATAAGCCACGATGTGTATAAGTGACTATAAGCCTGCTGTAACATGTACAGAATGATGTTTAAGCAAGTGATGACTTACAACTATCAACTCAATAGGAATGGGGATCTTCATTTTATCCTTGAAGCGCTCATTTATCTGTGCCTTGACGAGGTAGATGATTAGCATGCACAGCAAACTGATGATGAGTGTAGCAACATTGGTGGCAGTTATATGCTTCAAGATGTCAACCCAAGTCTGGAAAATAACACAGAGAAATACAGAAGTGGAATCAGGGTAATCGTTCTCATTAAAATAAGATCTTAGTTCTCACTATCGCTAAACAAAGATCTGAGGACATCCCATTACGGGTGACGTCAGAAAGACCTTTCATCCGACCAATTAAAGCGTTGCTAACCAGATCATGAAAGTGACAGTCAGAATGTGTTTTCTAATCATGCAACCTCGAAAACGTTAACAAGGGGTATTCCGAACGACAGTTACGGTCCGTGCAACATATTCTGTCAAAATGATCGTCTATCTCTCGCTTCCGTGGGATACACATTTGAATGGAGGAGGTGTTGCACAATACATTGGAAGCACTGCCATACAATCTCAACCATATATTAGACATTCCGGAATGTTCGTTTGTTCAGTTTTCAAAATTTATATCGAAAACTGTGTCTGAAAGTGAAGTCTGAAATGGAAGTCGCCAGGTTGAAACCAATGCCGTAAAGTTTGAGAAAGCTGCTTTCTAATTGGCAGAAATCGACTTCTTGTTAGTCGTTTCAGTGGTCCGTCAAAGTTTGCGAAAGGTTGCTCTGACGTGACCCGTAATGGGATGTCCTCAGATCTTTAATCAATCAACATGATCATGATGATCAAGGGAGATAACTCTGTGCATTAAAGGGGAGATAAATTTATTTATTTTCTTACTGATAAAAATAACATAAATTGGCATCAAACCAAAATGGTGTAAAAAAATGGTAGTCTGACAACTGGTAGTCTAGATCACATACTTTGTGTACCCCTCTGTTAAGTATAAATTGGTCAAATGTAACATGTTATCTTTGGGATTACACTTTCCTAGTCAAGTACAAATTTGTATTCCTTTTTTGGGTGGAGTCTCATCCAGGAATTGAGCCAGATTGGTACAACACAAAGTACGTGCTGTAGACTACCAGTGGTCTGACTTCCATGTCTGTGGAAGCCTTGGTGACTGGATGGGGTATGTCACTGACTTTGTGTGCTGGCTATTAGGTGCCTCATTCTGAGAGTGTGGGTTATAAATCTGGGATAGAAGTCCACGCAAAAAATACTAGAATTTGTACTTTACTGAGAAAGTGTAATCCCAAACATAACATACCGTATTCGACGTAATATGCGCCCAGGGCGCTCTCAAAATAAGAAATAAGGGGCTCTTATTAGAATGTTATTTTGTTAAAAAAAAGTTGAAAGATAAATTTTGTTGTTTATGCTGTCAGCAATGGTCAGCCTAAAATGTTTATGAATGACAGATATATTTTTCAAAATTAAACGCCCATAATCATGATAATTAAGGGTGCATATAACACACAAGTGCATATTATACGCGAATAAATAAGTCTTGTGTACATTCATCAATCGGAAGGGGTGCTAATTGGGATTGTTCACTAGCCAATATCTTAGCAAATGTCGCCGTGGGCGCTTATTAGAGCGGGGCGCGTATTACGTCGAATACACTATGTTAACTTTGACCACTTTCTGAAAGGCATTGTCTATTCAAAACTAAAATGGTGTTTCTACATTTTTGTTAGAAGATTCACCAATCTGTAATGCTATATCAGTGTTCACAAATATGAATGACAGTCAAGAGGCCCTCATAACCCTAAATATTTAGGTGGTAGTTACTAATAACAGCCAACATCAAGGAGCCTGCATATACATGATAAAGTCTATTAATAATGATCATCACAAATATTATCCTGGTCATAAATGTTTATTTATCAATAAATTCATAGGAACACAGTCACTTTTGTCTTGAAGTATATATCAAAACAAAAAAGTCATGAAGTAATTTAACTTTACAGTAAACAAATAATCCGAGAAATGCAGCACGTACCAGAATAATCTTAAAGGACCCGTTAAACCTGGTCAGCACAGCATACTGAGCCTGTCTGTCTACAGCCATGGAAGAAGTCGTACAGTTGTCCAGGTTAAGTCCAGACATTCTCAGGAGTGAAGTATTTGTCACTGACATATTTGTCACAGAGTAGTTGAAAGGTGACAGTGTGGCAGGGCCACTGGCTATTTTGCCATATCCGAGTCCGAATATATTTTTGATTTGGCTGGTACAGACATGTATGGACACACCCACTGTGAAGCCTGTGATGAGGGCGTTGGACATGAAGTTGATGACAAACCCAAGCCCAAGCTTCCCAGCAAGCATCTGAAATAATAATAAATAATAAATAATAAATAATAAATAATGTCAGGTGAAATGGGGTTTAACGTCGCATCCAAAATTATTGCACTTATCTAGCGACATGCATGCACGTGTGTGTGTGGCTGCATGTACTAGTGCGGACTGTTGCCGATTTATAGTGCTAGCTCACTGAGATACCATGTCGCAGTTTAACATGAATACCCCACTTAGACAGTATACTGACTCCGAGCCGACCAGTCCTTGTTTTAGCCCTTTAATGCCGAGCGCCAGACAGGGTAACAACAAGTACAATCTTTTAACGTCTTTTTGTATGACGCGGCCGGGGATCGAACCCCGGACCTTCCGCTCTCCAGGCGGACGCTCTACCACTAGTCCACGGAGGCGGTCCCTCAGATGAACAGTATACTTACTCCGAGCCGACCAGTCCTTGTTTTAGCCCCTTAATGCTAAGAAATCACTATTGCGAAAACTATTGATATTGAAAGAAACTTTTGCGATAACTATTGATATTGAAAGAAACTATTGCGATAACTATTGATATTGCTAGCAACTATTGCGATAAATACCGATAGTTTTCAGTGTATCTTTTCAGATGGATTTTAGAGTTGAATTAAACCTTGGAACTGAAGTTTCCTTTGTATGTGATAACCATAACAAATATAAAGTAAAGTTTGAGATATGACTGATTTGCTTTTTCTTTACCCTAAAAATTTCAGAAAAAGAAACTTCCACATTACCATGTGTAGATTACTACCACTAATGATGAATTTATTGTGACACCCCTACTTAATGCCAAGCTCCAGACAGGTGTTGTTAAATGCTGCACTCAGCAACACTCCAGATATATGACAGCTGTTGGTAAATAACTGAGCTTGGTCCAGACAATCCAGTGATATCATGAGCATCCATCTACACAATTGGGATACGACACCATGCAACCAAGTCAGCGAGCCTGACCACCCGAACCTGTGAGTCGCCTTTTACAACAAGCATGGGTTGCTGAAGACAATTTTTAACCCAAAACTTCATGGGTCCAAAAAGATTAAACTTCCAGATTAGTACAGCTAGAAGAATGAAAATTCTAACAGGGCAAGATGCCGAACATCTTCCCAAGGCAAGAGAGTTAACTGACTTTAAAAATTCAGTTTCCACCCTTGCTGAACAAGGCTAGAATTCCTGGGCTAAATCGTATCGCCACCAGTTGCTATTACGAGTTATGTCCCCTCTATGCCTCTCCTATGGGCCAATCAGATTCCACCTCTCGTATCACTTGCATTTGATTCAAACAAAATGGCGGCACCCAGTCAGGACGATCTGGTTGATAATCAAGATCTAAATTGTGATTTAAATGGGTCTTACATCGCGAAGTGCATCAAATCACGTGAGCACCTTGATTAAAATCATGAAAAGATTTGGAAAATATCTGTAGGCAGCGAGTTGGAGGTGCACGTTTTGCAAATCCTGCAATCGACCTGCAATTGGACTATGCATAGACTCGTTAGTCCAGCCAAATTGAAACTCCATAATACCAGCCTAGTTCGGCAAGAGTGGAAAATGGACTTTTATAGTCAGTTAACTCTCTTGCCTCGGGAAGATGGATATCGAAGGATAACTGATGCTTTTTTGTTTGAATAAAATGTATCCCAATTGGTTAATTTGATGCTCATAATGTCAATCACTGGACTGTCCAGTCTTGATAATTACAGACCCCCATCATATAGCTGGAATATTGCTCAGTGTGACATTAAACAACATTAAACAAACTTTGTTCAATGGGATGATTTATAAATCTATTAATCGCGTTAATAGTATTTCAGAGTTTACTTTCTAAGAGGGCAAGTTTAATAATAACATGAAAAAAACTGATCGATATCTACAAAATTGAAAGTCAGGATCATACTCTATGTAACCACCAAAGTAATTTAAAACACTGTGTGATAATAATCAGCTTAAAGTCAGTACCGTAACCAATCCAGTTGCCAAGGTAACAGCTCCTGCAACCTCGATTCTCTTTGCCATGTCGCTGTCAGAGAACTCCTTTGTTTCCGGACAGTGTGTGTCAGGATTGATGTCAACAGAAGATACACCAACTCCTGATGCCGCGACAGATGCGTCATATTTCTCGAGGATCGACGCCATCATCAGACTCAGTACTGCGATACATCCTGAAACACGGTACAGCATCACTGTCTGATTAAACTCTGCGTACCCGGTACTTGGGAAGTGCCAGGATTTACACATGAATATTGAAAACAGACACAAAATCATCCAAACATGCTGAAGGGCATTCACAGAGATACATGCTTCGGAATGAATGCAAATATTTCATAATTCAGTACCACCTACAATTAATTTTTGTAGGTTATCATTTAAAATTCCACCACAGAGCTCTAGATAACTTTTTGAACAATTGAGCTTTTACTCTAGGGTTTCTTTTTTAATCAGTGTTAATTGGGTTATTACATTTTTTATTTGGTAACCAATATTTTTTCACTCATCTATTCATCACTCTATTGGGTTTTTCCCATAATTAGTGAACATTTTAAGATTTTAAAAATATGAAATCATAAATGTCTCAGATGTATATAACTGTTCTAGACGCGGAAAGTAAATTAGCTCGTAATTGTGTTTCAGAAATTAGTTCCTTTGTACGCATGCTGAAAAAGCTTTAATGGGTATTTACGAGTGCTGTTTTTATAAATTTTGAGTTTTTCATTTAATGCGTTTCTGAACGAAAGATAATTGAAAGTACCGTATTTGACGTAATAAGCGCCCAGAGCGCTTTCAAAATTAGAAATAGGGGCCTCTTATTACAATATTATTTTGGTGGAAAAAACAGAGTTGAAAGATAAATTTAGTGGTTTATGCTGACGGCCTGAACTGTTTATATACGACTGAGATATTTTTCCAGAATTTAATTGCCCATAATTAAGGGTGCATATAACACACGAGTGCGTATTATACATGAATAAATAAGTCTTGTGAACATTGATCAATCGGAAGGGGTGCTAATTGGGATTGTTCACTTGCCAATATATTAGAAAATATCGCCGTGGGCACTTATTAGAGCGGGGCGCTTATTACGTCGAATACGGTAATTTGGTTTTGAATATTTTTGCGGTGTATTTTACGCAAATACACTGCTTATCTGTAGCTCTGATACCTAGACAGTCAAATGCTTCACAATCTTCTAGCACTAGCACTCGCACTTCATGTCAGTTTGGGAAATCCCAGACAATTTTTAAATAACGGCCTTGGAGCTTGCGAATCTTATGTCACTTGTGGTAGAGAACTGAACAGTGTTCAGCTTTTCAAACTTCTATGGGACCTCCACTTTTTAACCTGGGACCCCAACAGTTAAAAGGCTTTGTGTCCTCTGGACCCCGAATACAAATAACCCACGTACATCCCTGACTGCGCATTATTTATGTATCCATAGGCATAGGATCTGGTGCTGTGTTTTAGCGTTGTCCCACTTAAAACTTGGGTGTTTTTCATTCATTAGGCCAGGCGTTTTATATTTTTCGGATTACAGACCCGCCGACACTAATTTTTTAGAAAATGTAAAAAAACACCCAAAAAACAGATTTCCGTTTTTTTTCCCTGCCAATAGCCTCATATTCAGTTATTTTATTTGTTATCACCTTTTAATAAAACAACATATGAGTTTACTGTTGTAAACTAGTAAAGAGACACATAATCGATCTTTGTTGATCTCGAAACCGACAATAGCCTCCCTTGACAATTGTCTGTGTTGTAAGTGGTAGAACTTTTATTGTTACAAGGGGCTTTATCATCACAAATGGCGGTCTTTTGAGCACAGAATATGTTCATAAAGTATGCCAGAGGCATTCTGCATTAAAAAAATGCATCTTGCTTTTTTCCCTCCTCCTCAAACCCTGGACTTTGGGCTGAAAAATCCGTAATCCTAAAAGTAAAAAAAGCCTGGCCTTAGCATGATCATGATGATTAGATCAGTAGCAGTATTAATCCGGAAGTTGAAAAATATTTTTTTATTTTTTCACTACTTACATCATGTATTTTGAATCTTAACCTAAACATTTTGTAAACCAATAAATAAAAAATAAAAAGTCTTACTTGTCATCATGGTCATGAGACAAAAAATTTTTTTTATCAGATTTTTAAAATCAGAAAATGCTGCAAATGCATGTAAGTAACAGAGACAATACTAATATTAGTATCAATCAGTTGGATGGCACCAGCTGGTGGCATGTGTGGCAGCACCTGTTCATTTCACAGGGGCCATCTCAAATGTTTTGGTGACTTAAATCATGTTTACCATAACAATGCCCTCCTCTCTGATCTCCAGGCAATCCAGGCATATCTGGAGCTCATGTCAACCACACAACACTGCACATCAGGCATTCATGATCACTGATCGTCTGGAGCTCATGTCACCCACACACACTGCACATCAGGCATTCATGATCACTGATCGTCTGGAGCTCATGTCACCCACACAACACTGCACATCAGGCATTCATGATCACTGATCATCTGGAGCTCATGTCAACCACACACACTGCACATCAGGCATTCATGATCACTGATCGTCTGGAGCTCATGTCACCCACACACACTGCACATCAGGCATTCATGATCACTGATCGTCTGGAGCTCATGTCACCCACACACACTGCACATCAGGCATTCATGATCACTGATCGTCTGGAGCTCATGTCACCCACACACACTGCACATCAGGCATTCATGATCACTGATCGTCTGGAGCTCATGTCAACCACACAACACTGCACATCAGGCATTCATGATCACTGATCGTCTGGAGCTCATGTCACCCACACACACTGCACATCAGGCATTCATGATCACTGATCGTCTGGAGCTCATGTCACCCACACAACACTGCACATCAGGCATTCATGATCACTGATCATCTGGAGCTCATGTCAACCACACACACTGCACATCAGGCATTCATGATCACTGATCGTCTGGAGCTCATGTCACCCACACACACTGCACATCAGGCATTCATGATCACTGATCGTCTGGAGCTCATGTCACCCACACACACTGCACATCAGGCATTCATGATCACTGATCGTCTGGAGCTCATGTCACCCACACACACTGCACATCAGGCATTCATGATCACTGATCGTCTGGAGCTCATGTCACCCACACACACTGCACATCAGGCATTCATGATCACTGATCATCTGGAGCTCATGTCAACCACACACACTGCACATCAGGCATTCATGATCACTGATCATCTGGAGCTCATGTCACCCACACACACTGCACATCAGGCATTCATGATCACTGATCATCTGGAGCTCATGTCAACCACACACACTGCACATCAGGCATTCATGATCACTGATCATCTGGAGCTCATGTCACCCACACACACTGCACATCAGGCATTCATGATCACTGATCGTCTGGACCTCATGTCACCCACACACACTGCACATCAGGCATTCATGATCACTGATCATCTGGAGCTCATGTCAACCACACACACTGCACATCAGGCATTCATGATCACTGATCATCTGGAGCTCATGTCACCACACACACTGCACATCAGGCATTCATGATCACTGATCGTCTGGAGCTCATGTCACCCACACACACTGCACATCAGGCATTCATGATCACTGATCGTCTGGAGCTCATGTCACCCACACACACTGCACATCAGGCATCCATGATCACTGATGCCGAGAGTGTCAAGCTTTGGTTTATTAATAAAGTGGCGTTTGACATGTCCCATGTCCTGCGTGGATGTATTGATCAGCGTAATATAAGCAAGCGGTCTATAAAAGGTTAAAATAGTTGTGTGTTGTGGCAAGACTCTTACATACACTTGACAAAACATGACATGTTCACTAGGGCTGGCACAATACACCAACTGTGAGATCCGATACGTATCCCGATACCTTCCTCACGGTCCGATCACGATACTTGCATGTGCTCTAATTGTGGTGCGTAAGCCATCTTTGTCATAGACAGGATGACCAAATACCTGGCGCACTGATGATTTACAGTTGGCAGTGTCAAGTATGGCACAACAAATGAAAATATTTAGGTTTTTACTATTAACTTGCACTACTGATTAGTGTTTAGTGAAAGCTAACATTTAAGGTCAGATTTGATATTTTTTTTACTTAGTGTGCGACTGTGATTGTATGAGAATTAAAAAAATCATGATCCACCAATGCATTGATGGATCGTCCCACCACTAATGTTTACAAATAAGTTACCATCACTTCAACCCAATACCCAACCCAATTCAAAAGCACAGACACGCAGACACGCAGACACGCACGCACGCACGCACGCACACGCACACACGCAAGCACTCACTTTTCTTTCAATTCCAACAATAGTGTCATGAATATATCTAGGTGTTCTCAAAGGCCAATAGTAAGCCCTAGACCTACATCCAACATTGGCTAAAATTCTAAAATTGGATTAACAGATTAAGAACGTCCCAATGCAAGAATCAATAAATATTAAATTTTACAATATTCAATGCATGCAATGCCGAAGAGCCTCTGAACTCAAGTTAACATATAAATCATAAATTCCTAATTTTGGAAAGATAATGATGCTTTTCCCCCAAACAAAACTGAACATTCCATAGAGACCACTCTACTTAATTTACCTCAATAATGTCAAACTTATACATCATCCTTTTGAAATGTCTGTGGAAATTAATGAACTGTTGTGGCTTGCAAGATTATCCAATAACATATACCGTATTCGACGTAATAAGCGCCCTGCTCTAATAAGCGATATTTGCTAATTTATTTGCTAGTGAACAATCCCAATTAGCACCCTTCCGATTGATGAATGTACACAAGACTTATTTATTCAGGTATAATACACACTCGTGTGTTATATGCACCCTTAATTACGGGCAATCAAATTCTGGAAAAATATATCTTTCGTGTATAATACGCACAGACTTTTCTTTTGTATCATTTCAGGCTGTCAACATAAACCATGAAATTTACCATCTTTCAACTCTTTCACCAAAATTATATTCTAATAAGAGCCCCCTATTTCTAATTTTGAGAGCGCCCTGGGCGCTTATTATGTCGAATACGGTATACAAAGTGTTGTGAAACAAGTGTTCAGACAATTCCTGAGACATCAGTCTGGCAGGCAGGTTGTTAAACTGAACATGTCAACAAGGCGGCCTCACCCATAGACACCTGTCTGCCGGTCCCCACAAAGAAGTAAGTGAGGGGGGCAAACAGGGAGATGTAGAGGCCCACCACCGGCGTCAGCGTCGACAGCTTACCGAACGCCATTCCTGGAAGGAGAAGAAACAGATAATAACGCATGTAGAGAATAACCAAGAAATAAAATGTGTACAAGGAAGTAGAGATTAATTGTTTGAGTGAATTAACTTTTAAAGAATAACCAACGACTAATGACTGGCGTTAAACCCCAAGTCTTTGGCAAGGGACTTACAGCATTTATTCAAGAGGGACATATACTCCAAAATCCGAAGTAGAGTAGGTTGCCCTATATATTAATCATTGACTTTTTAAGAGATTTGTTTGTTTGTTATTTAACACCCCACTCAGCAATGTTACACGCAATTGGGATCGATGACATGCATCAACCAAGTCAGCGAACCTGACTGCCCAATCCCGGCAGTCACTTCTTACGACAAGCATGGGGTTGCTGAGTGAGTGAGTTAGTATGGTTTGACTCCGCTTTAAGCAATATTCCAGCAATATCACGGCGGGGGACACCAGAAATGGGCTTCACACATTGTACCCATACCGGGAATCGAACCCGGGTCTTCGGCGTGACCAGCGAACGCTTTAACCACTAGGCTACCCGACCGCCCCCATGGGTTGCTGAAAACCTTTTGTACCCTGGATCTCAGACATGGTTGCGCCAATGTGATTCTCCTGCTCATATTTAAGTAAAATTACTTGTCCCTTGGCCTTCCATGTAAATCACTTCTTTGTGACACAGGGCAGGTTTTCTTTGAATTCTCTTTGGACGTGGCTTCACAGTGCAATGTGTGGACTCTAAACAAGAGCCGCTACAGAATATGTTTGCCACTATTTTCATTCATTCATGTATCCAAGGGGTCAAGGATAGAGTAACCTTCCACAACTCACCATAAGAACCTTAAATACGTTTAATGTATGTATGTCATATGTAAATATGTACTATCATGACAGTGTATATGTAATACATAAATATGTATTATGTATACATCAACTGATAATTTTTCTTGTGATATATCTAGTTTCTGTGATGCTATTGGGTGGCAAGCAGATTCCATAATTGTACCAATATTTGTCTAAATCAGACATCACCTGACCATGCTGACAGAGATCCACTGCACTGCTGCAGGTGAATTTTTTGCATATTATATATTGTTGATAAATGAGCAGGATAGAGCAATTTATGGGTAAATCACAGCCTGGTACAGAGTATAGTGATACACCTAATGTTTGGGGAAATACAAAAGTCTCAGTCTGTCATGCCACAGCCTCTGACGCAGCCTATTGATGTGTCTGTGAAGTGCCATAAGCAGAGGAAAATTAGGTCAAACTGATGGATTGATTGACAGATGTCACTATTTGTACATCAATATGATCACAGTTATTGTTAATATTAGCATGATTGGATACAAACAGAAAATGAGGTAAACTTTGACATTTGAGTCATTGTTCATGTGATAAACATGATAAACATGATAAATGCAATGGTAATGCTCACTGCAATTTTGAAATTTCAAAATACAGTAAACTACGGTTATAACGAACTGAAAGGGACCATTAATCTTATTTCTGTATAACCGTAGTTCATTATAAGCATATATACAGGATACATACATCAAAATAACGTCAGTTTGTTATAAGCATGTTCATTTAAACGCAGTTTACTGGAAAACCAATACCTTGTTCTTATGAGTAACTGTCATGTTCTAAGAATTTCTGTCTATTGTTTCTAAGAATTTCTGTGTTGATAAGCAGAATTATGGTCCTGAGACATCATTCATGTGATAAACATGTTAAATGCAATGGTATCCTTCACCATGGTGGGAGGAAAGCCCGAAGTGATGCATGTCTCAGACGTTAACCACTTCGGTGAAACCCACGAGCACGGGTATGGTGCTGACAAACCTAGAAACATAATTGGGGAGATGTACATGAACCTACCCAAGAGCAGGAAATAGTTGGAATGAGGAATGTGCCTGAGAACTAAAGAATCTGACACTGAGAATTACAATGAAATCAAACCTTTGAGTCCAGAGGTTCTTGAACTAAGGAAACACAACCTCATTACAGGTTTCCACAGTTTGCAGTTAGCTGCACACAAAAGGAATGAACCATGGACCTTCCGCTCCCCGGACGGACGCTCTACCACTAGACCACGAAGGAGGTTCTTGAACTTAGGAAACACAACCTCATTACAGGTTTTTACAGTTTGCAGTGAACTGCACACAAAAGGATTGAACCCTGGACCTTCCGCTCCCCGGACGGACGCTCTACCACTAGACCACGAAGGTGGGCCTGCCACCAAATAACATTACCCTGTTGCTTTTTCTAGACATAGTTGAATTCATGTGAAACTACAATGGCCAGGACATACAGTGAAACTGTTCAACGTTTCTGGAGACTGGCATATAAATTGTTTCACGGTTGTTTATCACCATTCAAGGTGGATTAAACATGGTTCATTCCAGTAATATTCTGACCACATCTCTTTATGTGAAAATTTAAAATATTCCAGAGGTACGCCCATACAGCACAATGTTAAAATGCCCCATTGTATTTGAAAATGTGGGCCTTTTTTCAAATTTAGGGGCAAAAAGCACAAGGCCCAACCCTAGAATTATCCCTGATTAAAAAATTAAGTCTACAGACGGAACAGTTTCTCATGGTAATGATGACACACAAGATAAACTTTGCTGTCCCAGATATAGAAACTAGAACAACAACCAATTTGTAACGACGTAGATTTATGTGTAAAATTAAAAAAATAAAATGTGCTCATCAGTCAGTGAGTAAATTCATTTTCACTGATCCGAATCAGTGGAGTTGACTGTGCATCAACTACAGCTGTTATTTTGCTAATACATGTATCTCACTTACTGTTCACAATAAAAGGTTGAATTGTATAACAGGACTTGGGCATAAATGAATTTTTTTAGAAACCTCATCGAAAGTTTATCTTTTGGATGTCTATTTTACCAAAATTGGCATTTTTCATGTTTGTCTCCGCACAAAACGAGAATTCATCAAAACATACAGTAAATTGTCATCTTTAATTTAGAAATATATGAAGATAAGCATCCTGCAAAGATTATGAGATTTAGTAAGTAACAATCAATAATATTGTGTCATTGTACCACAAGGATTAACCTTGAATGTTTTACTTATGAGAGAAAATCCCCCCTGATCTAAATGCAATGAGATTTGTGGGCGTGTGATGAGATTTTGCAAATTTTCAGAGACATTTTGTCTTCCCATAGTGGAAACTGTATTTGATATTAGGTATTTGTGGATCGAATTATGTTGCAATTAATGTTACTAGATTATATAGATACATCCTCCGATATTTTCAACATTAATTATTCCACTGTGAATATTTAACGCTCTGAGAGCACAACATCCGCTGCATGAATTTTTTTAACGAGTTTATATTTTCTTTGTATTTTATGAAATAACAACAGTAGATGGCACTGCCTTTGAAACAAATTGTGCAGAACATTTTTGGGGAGTAATCCAGTCTGAATGCTAATGCCATAAGGATGTAGCTCACCCTCAAAAGCCTTATACAAGGAAACTAACTATAGTTAGATATTGTGATAATCTCTGGAAACTGGAGGAGGAGTAGATTTCATGAAGCTCCGTAAAACAGGGGCAGTAACTCTGTCAAAATTAGTCGAAATGAAACAGGACTGCGATATGCGTATCAACATGTCGACATCTTGTGTATAGACTATAGAGTGTCAGGGATATTCTCTAAAAGCTGGAGGAGGAGTTGATTTCACAAGCTTAGTACCCTCTCTCACAATTAGGCAAATGAAGCTCTGTAAAACAGGGGCAGTTACTCTATCAAAATTAGTCGAAATGAAACGGGACTGCGATATGCGTATCATCAACATGTCGACATCTTGTGTATAGAGTGTCAGGGATATTCTCTAAAAGCTGGAGGAGGAGTTGATTTCACAAGCTTAGTACCTCTCTCACAATTAGGCAAATGAAGCTCCATAAAACAGGGGCAGTAACTCTGTCAAAATTAGTCGATATGAAACGGGACTGCGATATGCGTATCATCAACCTTTCTCACCACAGTAAAAGTACAGAGCAATCTAACTAATTGTTCAACCAAATATGTACTTATCTTTTAATCCAAAGGTAATCTTCATTGACAACCATAAGATATATAGCTATGTGATAAATCACAAAGAACAATGATGAACGTTTAGGATAGTTCATTTCATGATAAAACATTGTTCTATCATGACGTCCTTTCTGATGAATTGAATATGCACTCACAACTTGTTGACGTTTTTTATAGGATAACATTATTTTTGAGGGGGAATTGTCCAGAAAGTTGTTTCTCATTGATGTAACTGGACTACACAGTGACTAAACGATCGCATCCAAAGTGGGATTAGGAGAAAAGTTACAGATAATCAACGTGAGGATTGTGAGAATATGCGGGAAATACCAAACTTAATCCACCTGTTCACAAAATGGACTTGTCCAACATTTCCAAGATCTGATTCTATTGAGGGTCAGTCATCATTATTAAAATTTGAATAAATATTTTTTAAGCTTGTACATTTCTTCAACATCCTTAAAGAGGCTGTATAAATGTTGATGTTATATCTCATATAAGAAACAAACGACTCATGGTCATCCTTTATTTCTTGAAGAAATTGTCACAATTGCTTTTTAATCACTGCCGGCGAAACATGTATGTTTCAATTTGTCATAAGGTATACATGTTGTGTCCTTAATTTCGAATTGCTATGTAACAATAATCAGGATAATACTGTTTCTTGATCTGTCTGGATGTTTGTGCCATTTTATCTCGATTGTCTAGATATCTCGAAGTTACAATACAGTCCTGCTGAGGTTCGAGATAACACAGGGTTTGATTGTACGTTAAAGCTGTGATAAGTACTCTAGCCATGCTAAGAGTGAATTCAATCAAAAGCTGCTTAAGGAATACCTCAAGGTAACTGATCAGCCCAGCAATTCTTGTAAATCAGGAGTGAATAGTATTAATTTTTTAAGGATTAGTGTTATTTTTAAAACTGTAAGTGGG